GGGAGACAGCGGGTGACACGGGTGACACCGAGGGAACAGCGGGTGACACCGGGAGACAGCGGGTGACACGGGTGACACCGGGGACTGACGGGCTGGTTGAGGTGGTGGCCCACGGAGTCGGCCAGCGTGCCGATGGCGTCGTACAGGATCAGCAGGTTCTTGTGCTGGTATTTGCCGAAGGCGAACACCAGCGTGTCCAGGATGAAGCTCAGGTACGGAACCAGCTCCGTGCACGCCTCCTCCTCCAGCGTGGCGAACGCGCTGAGGGAACCCCAGAACATCGTCAGGGACCCCAAAAACATCACGGGACACCCCAAAAACATCACGGGACACCCCAAAAACATCATCAGGGAACCCAAAACAACGTCAGGGATCCCCAAACATCGTCAGGAACACCGAAACATCATCAGGGACCCCAAAACATCACAGGACACCCCAAAAACATCGTCAGGGACCCCAAAAACATCATCAGGGACCCCAAAAACATCATCAGGAACACCGAAACATCGTTAGGGACCCCAAAAACATCGTCAGGGAACCCAAAACAACGTCAGGAACACCAAAACATCATCAGGAACCCCAAAACATCACGGGACACCCCAAAAACATCGTCAGGGACCCCAAAAACATCACGGGACACCCCAAAAACATCATCAGGGAACCCAAAACAACGTCAGGGACCCCAAAAACATCGTCAGGGACCCCAAAACATCATCAGGGACCCCAAAACATCGTCAGGGAACCCAAAACAACATCAGGGACCCCAAAACATCGTCAGGGACCCCAAAAACATCACGGGACACCCCAAAAACATCATCAAGGAACCCAAAACATCATCAGGGACCCCAAAACATCATCAGGGACCCCAAAACATCGTCAGGGAACCCAAAAACATCCTCAGGAACCCCAGAACATCGTCAGGGAACCCCAAAAACATCATCAGGGACCCCAAAAACATCGTCAGGAACACCGAAACATCGTCAGGGACCCCAAAAACATCATCAGGGACCCCAAAACATCATGGGACACCCCAAAAACATCGTCAGGGACCCCGAAAACATCGTCAGGGACCCCAAAAACATCACGGGACACCCCAAAAACATCATCAGGGACCCCAAAACATCATCAGGGACACGGAAACATCGTCAGGAACACCGAAAACATCACGAGACACCCCAAAAACATCATCAGGGAACCCCGGAAACAGTCAGGGACCCCAGAAACGTCATCAGGGACCCCAAAAACACCGTCAGGGACCCCAAAACTTCACAGGACAACCCAAAAACATCGTGGGAGCCCCCAAAATCCTCACAGGAACCCCAAAACCCCCATCAGGGACCCCAAAAACACCATCAGGGACCCCGAAACATCACGGGACACCCCAAAAACACCGTCAGGGACCCCAAAAACATCGTCAGGGACACCGAAAACATCGTCAGGGACCCCGAAAACATTACGGGACACCCCAGAAACATCGTCAGGGACCCCAAAACATCATCAGGGACCCCAAAACACCATCAGGGACCCCCAAAACCTGGCAGGACCCC